CACACGCACACACACACACACACACACACACACACAGTGCACTGTTTCACCCTCTGGCTGATTTTTCTGGTCCCGGCAGCATACTTACGGCCCCGTGACTTGAGAAAGTGTCCTTAATACAAAGGAGCTCTTGGCCCTGCAGGAGCGGGGGAGCCACGGACTCCCTGGCTGTTGACTACTGGGGCTTTTCATCCAAGCTGACTTTATTTACTCATAAGCAGAGCTCACCAACAAAGTTCAGAAGGCCCTGCACCGGTCACATCCCCACCCCCACCCTTTAAATTTTCTTTTATTTCTTTGGCTGTTTCTCTTCTCTCCCTTGTCAGTTCTCTGAGCAAACCTGTGGGTTCCTTGCGGCCCCTTCTCCTTTCCGCAAACGTGCACTGGCGCGCGCGCGCGCGCGCACACACACACACACACACACACACACACACACACACTCTGGAAAGCCCTGGCCTAGATCCCGGTTGGAAAGTGGCTTTTGAGAAAATCAGGGAACACCCACTCAACTCATGGTCGAGAGAATTCCCGGGGCCAGCTGAGCTGTTTGGTCAAATCTGGGATGAACAGTGCCCCAGAAATAGGCTACTTGCCTGGAGCATCACTGAGAAGGATTCTAGGGGCACATCTGGATTTTGTGTGTGATGGGGGGAGGATGCAAGGATATATTAGGAAGGTGTGAGATAGTCATGGGATGGACAAGTACAAGTATTACCATATTGGTTTTACTCACAAATGGTTTCTTGGAGAGCTCACAGTGAAATGTTATTAGCTGTTAACATCCTAGCATGAATTAAATTATTGGATTTGCTGCCCATCACCTCTTGGGGCTCCAAGGGAATAAAGTCACAGGATTGGTGAAGTTTCTATGGAGCTTATCTTTCCTTTTTTTTTTTTTTGAGCTGAGGTGAAATTCACATAACATAAAATGTACCATTCTAGCCATTTTAAGGTGTATAATTCAATGGCTTTTAGTATACTCATAAGGTTGTACAATTGTCACCACTCTCTAAGTCCAGGATTTTTCCATCACCCCTAACAGGCACCCTGTGCCCATGAAGCATTCATTCCTAATTCTCCCCCTCAGTTAATCTGCTTTCTGTCTCTATGGGTCTGCCCATTCTAGACATCTCCTCTACAGGGAATCCTCCAGTGTTTGTCCTTTTGCATTGGCCTCCTTCACTTAGTGTAATGTTTTGAAGCTTCATGTTTTGAAGCTACCCTGATAGCGGAATCAGGACTTGAGTCTTTTTTATGGTCAAATAACATTCCATCGTGCGGCAATAACATGTTTTGTTTATTCATCCATCAGTTGATGGATGTGTGGGTCGTTCCCGCCTTTTGGCTCTTGTGACCAGTGCTGCTGTGAACATTCACGTGTGAGTTTTTGTGTGAACACTCATTTTCAACTGTCTGGGGCAGATAAGTGAGTCCCCCCCCCCACGCCCACCTTTGGCGATGACAGATGCATTTCAAACTGTCTGGAAGGTGAGGGTTTTTTTTTTTAAGATTTTATTTATTTGAGAGAGAGAGAGAGAGAGAGCATGAAAAGGGCGAGGGGCAGAGGGAGAAGCCAGCTCCCTGATGAGCAGAGGGCCTGATGTGGGACTTGATCCTAGGACTCCAGGATCATGACCTGAGCCAAAGGCAGTTACTTAACCAACTGAGCCACCCAGGTGCCCTGGAAGGTGAGTTTTGCTAAGAAGGAAAGTGCGGGAGTTTGGGTGCTGCCTGGAATAAGGCCCTGGAGGGAAAGGGGACAGAACACTTAGGGCATTCTGCAGAATCCTAAGGTGAAAGTGTATCTGGAAAGGAGGACAGGAGAGGGAGGAAGTGTTTCCAAACGGGGTGCCCATAACCTTGATCTTTAGTAGATGGAGGAAAAACAGACTTTGTTCAGCATTTATAAGATGGCTGCTGATATTTTTCATTTTTTTAATAAGGAAAGGAAAATAATGATGTATTATACATTGGCTAATTGAATTTAAATTTAGAAAAAAAAGAAAGGAAAAATCTCCGGTGGGGATGAAAAGATGAGTTAACTAAAAAGTGAAAATGGTTGTGGCTTTGGATGTGTCTTAACGAGGTGTTGTTAATGGATGTGTTTTTGGCAAAAAGAAGGAAACCTGGTTTGGCTGCATGTTAGAGTGAGAGGATGAATTTGGTCGAGCAGATTTTAGCACAACACACTGAAGAAAGAGATCTCTCAGTATAATAACGTTGCCGTGTATTTCGATGGCGATGGACTTTTTCTAAAACGTCTTTATACTCATTAGCTCATTAGGATGAATGAATTGGGTAGGAGAGACACTATTTGCTGCCCTTTGAGAAGTAGGAAACCAAGGGGCTTCTGGATGGCTCAGTGGGTTAAGCGTCTGCCTTTTGTTCAGGTTGTGATCTCCAGGTCCTGGGATTGAGGCCCCTGTTGGGGTCCCTGCTCAGCGGGGACTCTGCCCCTGCCTCTCCCCTCTGCTCATGCTTGCTCTCTCTCTCTCAAATAAATAAATAAAATTTAAAAAAAAGAATTAGGAAATCAAGGAACCCATCAGAGCACCTGCTGACAGCAGTCGTTCATCAGGATTTGTTAAAAAATAAGTGAAGCAGAGTCATCTCAAGTCGGAGAATGTCAGAGCTGGGAGGCTCTTGGAGATCATCCATTAGGCCTCCCTCCCCAACCCACTTTGGGAGGAAGGATGTTGGGGCAAACAAAGCAGAGAAGTCCTGCGCTTAAAGGCCAGGTCACCTGGTTGGTGAGTGAAGGACCCAAGTCAATGGTTTGTCCTCTGTTCCCTTACTGAGTATCACTGTAACATCTACCACATTGCTTTGTGGTGGTTTGTGTTCTTACCTGTACTCGCTGTTGGGTCACCTGCTCCTGGAGGTGGAGCTTGTGTCAGATTCATTTTGTGTCCCCAAGATAAAGCACAGTGTTGAAGCTTGTTGAAGCTTGTTGACTAGGGGCACGGGAAGTGGCAGCTCTTTGTTCTTCCTGGGTCTCTGCTCCTTCCTGTTTCACCCCAGCTTCAAGTGGCAGAGCTCAGGAAGAGTTTCTGGACCCCAGAGATCTTTTGTCTAAACCCAATGTCTACACTCATCATGGTGGGTGATGCTAGATGTACTGGGCAGGTTGCTTTGGACTTGCTGGGGTGGGGGCTGGGATAATCCCTGGGGGGTTGTTATTATGGAAATCTCTAGAAGCTGAAGGAAAGAGGGAGCTTTCCTTAGTTCAAAGTCAATCTGGCCACTTTCTATGGGATCTCAAGTGTATCCTGAGCCCCCGGATGTCCTTTGGTGTGTTGTCCAGTGTCCCGAGTGGAGGTAATCTGGAACCAGTACCTTAGGGGAACTGTGTCCTTCAGCGTGGGACTTGTCCATGATGGGGACAAGAAGAGGTGATGGGATTTTCAAGGGGCTTCTCAAACAATTCCGTGTGTATCTTGTTTAGATTTTCCTGGGGACTTGCACTCGTTCCTGAGCATATAGTTGAGGCAAAGTGGAAAAGGTCTCACATTGGTCCTTCCTGTGGCTTGGTACTTGCTGTGGCCAACAAATGGCAGATGACAGGTACCCAGGCCAGTGCGTGGAGGGTCTGTCGACTGGTGCAGGAAGAGAGGCACAGGGAGATTATATGTATGGTGTGGACCATGGTGGGGGCTTTGTCATCTGTCTTCTGTTATTGGGTTCTGCTCAGTGTTGAGCAGCCCCGGGAAGGGGGGTGGTTCTTCTCACCTGAGCCTCCTCCACTTCCTGTCTCCTGTGCAAACTCCAAGACGTGGATGTTGGATCCCACCACCACCTCCCTGGCCTGGGAAGGGCTTGACTTCCTTTGGCTCCTTCTCACCCCACTCCAGGGCAGTGAGATTCATAGAGTGCAGGGTGCAAAAGGCTCCCACTGGAAAGCTCGATGTCAGATGGCAGTCATGTTCCCATAGCTTGATTACTCCTGATTGCAAAGCAGTGCCCACACAACTGAAGAACAAAGCCAGGTGGTCTTATGTCATGTATGACACATCCAGGGACCAGTGGTTCTTTGCTGGTGTCCCTCATCTTGAAGAGGCCAGGGGAAGGTCTGAGTGCTCAGAAGTCCCTCAGGCAGCCTCAGGTGTCCATGTGAAGGGGGCTTGTGGTCTGTGGAGTGCAAGAGGCAGCATCGGCATCCCCTGGAATGTGTCAGTTCGTGCTCTCCAGCCCTGTCATGACAGGGAGCTTGGGGTGAACCTCTTCTTTCCCATCTTGGCTGAAGGAGAGATAGCCCTCAGTCCTCTGAGGGGGCACCTTCTACCATCAGGGGCCCATTGGGGTGTGTGGGGAGGTACGTGGTTGTGCTGGTTTGGGCGAGGAATCAGGATCCCGGGGACCATAGCACAGGGGTGGGGAACCAAAGCAAGATATGAGAACATCAGCAATGTGCTCAAGTCCTGGAGGCAGCCTACAGGGGGGAGCTAGTGGGAGCTCTCAGATGGGAAGAGGGAGCTGTATTAGCAGAGCCCCCACTTCTGCCATGACTCAGGTTTGGTTCTTCTTTCTGGTGGGCACTGGACGAGGAAGCTGATGTTTAAAGTGGGCTCTCTGGATGGTGAAACAGGGTATCTAGGAGAGCTTCCAAGAGAGGGCACGGTCTGAAGGTTGGCAAAGGTCCCCCAAGAAGGTTGTAGGATGAGCTAAGCCCTGGGCGGGGGCGGGGGGGGGAGGAGGAAGGTTGGTGAGGGTCATCCCATGGGTTCTTCAGACCAGAGGGAGCAGCCAGAAATTGTTTTCCAAATAGTTGCGGCATTGGGGGGTGGTGTGTGTCATGTCAGTGAGAGTGGAGGATGACAAGGGGAAAGGTTTCTGTAAATAAAGTTGTCTAGTTACTGTCTTGTCACAAGCCACTCTGCTTTGTGACATGGTTTGGTCCCATTTCAGACAGACCGTGACTCCTTTTCTCCACACGGAGCTGAGAATAGATGTCTCCCTCCACCTTGCCCCTTTGTCTTCCACCTCACGACCAGCACACTCACCTGCACCAGATCCGGTGTGAGGCGCTTGGCCTGCAGCCATTTCTGGAACCTCCTGGTTTTCCGCAGGATGCGCTCGATGCTGCAGGTTTCTGGGGCTGCCGCAGAGGCGCAGATTCTCCTGTCCGAGATGTCACTCTGCTGTTTGCTGGCCAGCCTGGAGACCTCCACGGGGCGCCAGGTTTTGGAATCATCCGAGTAATTTGCAGGGTAAGAAGGCAGGTAGTCGGGAGGCAGTCCAAGGGGGGAGGCCAGCCAGCTGTCAAACCTGGAAGAAGGGCCCTTTTATTTTATTTATTTTATTCTTTTAATATATATATATATATATATATATATATTTAAAGATGTAAAAAATTTATTTATTTGACAGAAAGAGAGAGAGAGAGAGAGCATGCACACAAGCAGGCGGAGCTTACAGAGGCTTACAGAGTTTAAGGACCTCGCCCAAGTTCAGACAATACATTGCTGAGCAGAGGTGCAGATCCAGGGCCATCGGTCAGTAGAGCCCATGATCTTTCCCCTTCCTCAACATTGGTTCTAGAAACAGCCCACCCTCTGACTAATGGCTGGGTCTTGGAACCATAGTTTGTGAAGAGGCTTCTGGGCCTGCACTCAGAGGAGCAGTGGCTCCCCATATCCCGTCCCAAGTGGCCCCCTCAGTTTTGCCTTCAGTCCAAAGATTAAAGTCATCCATACCACCCAAGTCACAGGAAACAGTGGCAGGTAAATTGTCACCACATTTCAAAGCCATCAGGGATCCAAGAGGTGTGTCATGTTACACAATGGCACGATTGGTCCTTAGTCCCCTCCTAGGACCCTCTTGCTAGTTTCCTAGGCCCCACCTTGACTCTTTTCTCCAGTGATTCTTCTGGCCACATGCCAACATTCCCATTAGGAGAGAATATGAAATCTCCTTCTGATTTATATAGGAAAAATTAGGAAGGTAATGTTTTCTTTCATGATTAATTGTATTAGGCTTCTGAGATGTGTTCTATATTTAATTTAAGTAAGAATCTGGAACTTCTTATTACTGGGCATTATTGGACCAACCTCATGATCATGACTTTTGGGGGAAATGAGCATTTTGATTGGCCCCAGAACTTTGTTTTCTCACTTACATGATGCAGCTTTACCCTAAGAGACTGCAAGGTTCTCAAAGAAGGTGCCCCAGGAGAACCTATCAATTAACATCTCCCACAATGCAGTAGTGTCATTCAAACTGCTGTGGAAGCAGGCTCAAAGAATTTTGCTCAAGAATATTGCTACAAATCTATTTAAAAAGGTGAAATATTGTGGGGCGCCTGGGTGGCTCAGTCAGTTAATCGTCTGTCTTCGGCTCAGGTCATGATGCTGGGGTCCTGGGATGAGCCCTGCATTGGGCTCCCTGCTCAGTGGGGATCCCACTTCTCCCTCTCCTTCTGCCTCTCCCCAGCTCATGCTCTCTCCCTCAAATAAATACATAAAATCTAAAAAAATAAATAAAAAATAAAAAATTTAAAAAAAGATGAAACATTATAAACCAGCAGTGAGTCAATTTTACCAGCTTTCTCAGGACAACCATTGGGAATGATCCTCCCCTCTAAGAGGATAAAGAAGGGCAGAGGGCCCCAAGGCAGGCCTATCTGCTTGTTTCCTATAGCTGCTCTTGTTCCTGGGGGTTTAACCCCATTGAAAGGCCTGTGACCGAGGATTTATGATAGGTAGCTCTCTTAGACATCGATTGTCACAACACGCATGTATGAAACACTTAGGCATGCCAGTCACTGTGCTAAATGCTTCATGTGTAATTATTCAGTTAAACCTGGCAGCGAACCTGTGAAGTCAGTAGTATTCTTAATCATACAGATGAGGAAACTGAGGCACAGAGAAGTAATTTGTCCAAAGTCATACAACCAGAAATTGGAGGGAGTGGCATTCAAGACTCCAGAACTCACAATCTCAAGTGCTTTGCCATGGCCTAGTCCCCTGTCATCCTTTTTATGACTTCGTTTGTGGGAACAGATTGGTAGGTAACATTATTAGGGGTCGTAGCTAGCAGTATCATAGTTTCCAGAGCTGGAAGAAAGCAAAGAGTTCGTGTGGTCCAATCTACCCAAGCACCTCAACATGGAGGACAGGGTGGAGGTGTGGGGCAGAGCAACAGTGCTGCAATGAGAATAAAACACTCTTTTCTCTAGCATGTTCCTCATGCTTGCATTCCGTCAAACACTAAGTTTGTAGACATGCCTTCTTAAATATTTCTTGCCTCCCTTTCTTCTTCTCCATCCCTCAGGTCTGCCTAGAACTCTTAAAGCATCCAGCGTCTTCCCAAAAGCTCTCAGGACATCTGTCATACTACTTAGAGCAGTTCACAGCGTTCTTTCTGGGCTCATCTCCTGCTGCTCCCCCTTCCAACCTTGTTTTTTCTCACCGAATCAGTGATCATCCTTGGCTAAGCCATGTCATTTTGCATCTCAGAGCCTCCACTCACCTGGTCATGTACCCATCCCTTTGTCTGAGATACTTTCTTCCATTTTCCCAGTGTCATCACTGTTTTCCCAGTGGAAAGTAAACTCCTGCAGGACTACAACTGGACTTCCTTCAACTTGGTCACTCAGTGCCTAGCGGAGGGGTGGGTATGAATTTAGTGCCCAGTGCATTTTAGTTGGATGGATGGATGTGTATTTGGATGTATAGAGGGATGATAAATGAATGGAGGGAAATGAGGAGGACTAGCTGGGTGGCTGGCTGCAGAGGGATGGTTGGGTGGAAGGATGCATGAACGGATGCTTGAATGAATGGGTTAATGAGTGGATGGGCGCATGCGTGGATGACGGAACGTGTACATGGATGCTTTTGCCATAAGCTCTGGGGCCCTGCAGCTCCTGAGACCCCAACTTAATTCCAGAAAGTGAGTTAAAGCAATCATTACTATGATCTTCTGAGATGAAAGAGACAGATGAGGGCAACGGAGAAGAGAAGGCAAAAGCGAGTCTAATGATTTACTTATTTTACTGCGACCCCTCCACTAATCAGAAGTATTTAAACTTCTTTTAAGACTTTGGGATTTGGGGGATGGGGATGCAAGTCCAAGTGAGTACAGGAAGGAAGGGCAGGGAAAGCACCTGTCTTGGTGAGAGGCCAGGAATCCCTAGGAGTAATTCTGATCAGAAATACTGCTGTTAAGTCCCCCGCCTCCACCTTTCTCCCCAACCTATGACCTGCACATAGATGAATTCTGATCGATCAGTTTCCTGGTCGATCTCGCCAGCTGGCACGATCGATTAGGAATTCACAGATAGGTATGTTTTCAGAAGGAAGACTATGTCAATCAGGTTTACTCTTTTTTTCTGGCTTCCCTTAACTCTTTCATTCAGGACTTGAAAGTCGACACGGAACCCATGGGGAAACTGGTACCCAAAACATGGAAATGTTCAAAGGTCAACCGTTGGGTATGGGAAGCAACAAATTTATCATTAGCGTTCTTGCCAAAGAGAAGATAAGGGTTAGAAGGAAAGATGCGTTCATCTGCGAGTTCGGCTGGGCTTTTCCCTAATGTTATCATCATAGTCATTTGTTAAAGTGGGAAAATATTTGGAGATGAACAAGAGGAACACTCTTAGAAAGAGAGGTAAAGATATGAACTTCAGATAATTTAGCAAACAAGGAATAGAAATGGCCCATACTATATGTTGGCTAATGGAATTTAAATTAAAAAAATAAATTAATTTAAAGGAATGAATTCTACAAGCCCACCCCTTAAAAGAAATGATCTGTAAGCCTGAAAAAAAGGCTCAGCTCAGAAGACATACAAACTAAGAATAGCAGTAATATTAAATATTTGTGAACATGCAAGAAGTGAGCTCTATAGGTTGAAGTCTCCATTTGGAGATATATACATATATAAAGTCTCCTAAAAATGCACTGCATTTTGTGACCCAGAATTTTCCACTTTTGAGAATCTGTCATAGGAATTTATGATTGATGTGCACAAAAATCTAGCAATAAGGATGTTCTACATAACACTGTTTATAATACTGAAAAGAAAAAAAAATACCTAGCTGTTTCACAGCAGTGGATTATTTAAATTACGGTTGACTGATGTGATTGAATACTGCAAAGCCATTAAAAATCAAAGTGTGGTTGTATCATTTGCAATTATCTTCTCCCATTTGGTGGGTTGTTTTTTTTGTTTGGTCTTGTTGCTGGTTTCCTTTGGTGTGCAAAGGCTTTTTGTTTTGGTGCAGTCCCAAGAGTTTAATTTTACTTTTGTTTTCCTTGCCAAAGGAGACAATCTAGAAAAATGCCTCTATGGCTGACGTTGAAGAATACTTAGTCATGTGGAAACGTGTTCCTGATATACTGTTAAGTTAAAGTTTATAGAAAAGTGTACATAGGATGATCACATTTTTGCTGAAAAAAAATTTTAAATCCATACTTAGAAAAAAGTGGCAAGGATATATAATGAAGGAGGAATTATACATGATTTTCATTTTGTGCTTTCTTTAATATTTCTTGAAAATTCTAAAATAAATAGCTATTACTTTTAAAATAAAGAAACAGTTTCTTCTGCTGTGAAGAACTATAAACAAGTCCACGTCCCCACAACCACTCACTGTCTCTCTCTGCAGCTGAACTTGAGGAATGTACGTTCTCAACGTGGAGAGCCCTAAACCGCAACCTGCCCCACCCAGTGCTTTCCTGCCTGTCTCTGGACACAACCCTTTAGGACGCACATGGAACATAAATTCTGAGGGAACTGAGGTAATATCCTGAACTTGAATGGAACACAAACCCATGTGGGGAAATGTTCCCTGAATTCGGCCAATACCTGCCTGGTGAGAAAAATTTCATTTATTGCCACTTGGCGAAGAGTCAACTATACGATTCATATACTCTTGTTTAGTTACCTTAGGGAGGATGTGACCCTGGGACTCTCTTTCTGTTGACTCCCATAATGGCCCTCCCCCCTGTCAGAAAAATCTGTCCGTGTTCTCCTCGCCTCCTTTCTCTGAGGAATCAGCCCCACTTCATCCATGTTCTTGGTCCTTCCCATCCCGTTTCTTAGGCGGGATGGCAATCTTGTGTTCACTTTCAACATTCCCATCTTTCTGTCACACTGAGTTGGTCAACAAAATGACTTCTCTAGCTGAACCCACTGGCATCCTTCCTGCCCTGCTTTGTTCCCACTGACCTTTCTCCTGGGCTAGGAGAACTGACCTGGCTGCCCCTGCCAACGTCAACCAATCCATCCTGCACACTGCTTTCCTTTTTAAAATTATTATTGTTTTTTTATTTTTTTTTAAATTATTTATTTGAGAGTGAGAGAGAGTGCATGAGCAGGGTGGCAGGGGGAGGGGCAGAGGGAGAAGAAGCAGACTCCCCACTGAGCAGGAAGCCTGCGGTAGTGCTCCAATCTGGGACCCTGAGATCATGACATGAATCAAAGGCAGACTCACATTGCCTTCCAGAAGATTCTTCCAAAACACAAGTCTCATCTTATCTCTACCCCACTAAATTCCTTTGCCATTGCCTGCAATAGAGTTTTGCCAGTTGGAAAGTCTTTCAACTCTTCACCATTAGAGACGCCTTAAAAGAAGACCTAATGGGGAAAGTCCACATCAATACGATATCTATCATCTCGCCAAAGTTCCACATTTTTGATCGATATTTTCCATTCATTATATCTGTTTAGTAACTTAGTTGAATAATCAAATATGTCTTCAGTTAGTACAGACTGAAAATCAAATTATTGTAAATTAATGTTGTTTGTTTGGTCACCAACTCTTACATGCCTCAGATAGGTTCCTGGAGGAGGGCTGAGGAGAAAAGGCCTATTATAAAAGGTCTCGAAGAGGCTGGGAACTGCTGGCCCACGGGTAAAAGTCCTAATTCCTCGGAATGGCATTCAAGGCCCCTTCCCCATCTGCCTCTTCCAATAGCCTCCTTGACCATTCCTTCACATTGGCCCCATGCTCCAACCACTAAGTGCTTCTCTCCTCTCCCCACACCCTGGGCCATTGCTTTAGCTGGTCCTTCTACCTTAAGCTTGTCTCCTAAATTTTGGCTCATCCTTTAAAGGCCTTGCTCTGAATGCTTTCCCCAGCCCCCATTTAGAATTAATATCCCCCTTCCTTAGAACTCCCGGAGGTCCTGTACATTTCAGGCCACATCTTATTATTGTTATTTATAACATGGCTCTCTCCTCCTGAGCCCCTCGAGGGCAATGACCAAGAGTTACAGCAATGCCATTGGAGCACCTACTGGGTCTTGACTGTCGTCAAGACTCATTGAACTCTGTACTGACAGGCTTGAACTCCAGAGTGTGATACCGTCCTTCGGTGAGATCCAAATGCATCACCATTCACTAAACTTGGGTTTTCCTCTGGATAAGAAAATTGATTTCGAAACTTTGAAGTAAATTGCCCTGGTTTGAATCCCAGATCTGCCCCTTAGTAGGTGGTGACCTTGGGCAAGTCACTTAATCTTGCTCTGGTCACTCTCTGAGTAATGAGTGCTAAACATTAACGTTCCAGGATGGTGATGCGGAAAGAATAAAAAATAAGCTTTAAAATATCCATCACATAGTAGGCTTTCTATTAATTCTATTTCCCTCTTTTTATGAGAAATGAGCTTGGTAAACTCAATGATCCCAGGCTACTCCATTCATAGAAAAGAACACTTTAAGCTCCTACTTCAAAAGAAAACTTTGGATTTAGCATTTAGGGCTAGCACTTAGCTTCATTCCTTTTCCCCCTCCTCACCCCAACTTCAACCCATCACTGCTTTGATTACATGACTTTGCTTCAGCTCCCCCCACTGAAATTGCCTCCTGGCCATCATTAAGCGAAGAGAACAGGAGTTTGCCCCTCCGAATTATCGAACAGAGATTCTGACCTTATTTCTTCTTTAAAGAACTTCTTGCAAATTGATGTCCCGATGCAGGCATTGCATTTATCAAGACCGAGGAAAGTCCTTCCAAAACTGTAGCTGGTTCTGCTTCGGGGCACCAGAGAAGGAGAGGGAGAAGCCAGCGAGGAAAGAGAACAGCTCAGGGCTGAGACCCACAGCAGCAGCACCAGGCGGCCCGGGCAGAGGCCGACAGCCTTGGGCCGAAGCTGGGGCTCCATCTCCCGCTCCAGATTCCCGCCCGCAGCCTTCAGCTGCTCACTCAGAGCTGCGCAGGGCTAGGGCTTGGCAAAAGAGAGGGGGCTGGGTCCGGGGCAATGACCCCATCTCAGCTTCCCCAATTTCTGTTTGAGGATGCTAAGGAGCTTGGGGCTAATGGGGCTGGAGAGGAGGTGAGGAAGTCCACGGAGGATGCTGATAACACCGTTTCCAGAGTTACTCTTCCTCTGTCTGGGGCGGCTGCCTCAGGCTGGGGAAGGGCTGACTGGCAGATTTAGGGAAGGACAATGGTCAGGGCTTCCCTGTGCGGTCCTTTTGACAAACACAGGATATCCTGGCTGGGCAGGAAAGGTCCATTCAGGATGTGTGTCCGACCTGGATTCCACCTGGGAGTTTCAAAGGATCCTGAAGGTCTCCACCCTCCACTGTTTCAGTTCTGGGCACATCTGTCCCTATTCTTGCGTGTGCCCCCACCCCCCAGTTACATCTCTCCCTGTGAATCTCTCTCTCTCCTTCACACACACACACACACACACACACACACACACACATTACATTTCTCCCTGTGGATCTCTCTCTCTCTCTCACACACACACACACACACACACACACACCCCAATCACAACTGTCCTGATGGATCACACACACACACACACACACACACACACCAATTACATCTCTCCCTATAGATCTCTCTCTCTCTCTCTCTCTCTCTCTCTCACACACACACACACACACAGAGACACAGCAATTTCCCCCCTCTGCAGTGGATACTTTGGCCCACCCCTTGATGAGCCATCCCAGCCCCACTTTGATTCTATTTGGCTGTGAAATAACTCTAGGTCAGTCTGCTGGTAATTAAATGGCACATTTAACACTGATTCCAGTGGCAAAAACGTTAGGCTGCTTCAGGAATAGAAAAACTCAAGTTAGCCCATGTATCAGCTCCTCTCGCAGACCTGAGCAGGGAGAAGATGGAATCTGGTGGTCTCTGATGTGATGAGGGAGCAACGGAAAGATTCTTCGGCCTGCACCCAGCTATGTCTGTCCCTCGACCCGCCGTCCCCCCACCCCGTCCCCGACTGCCTGTCCCCCTTACCTTCACCACCCTGCCTCCCTTCTCCATGCCAGCCTGACTTGGTGGCATTTACTGTCCACAATTGCCTTCCTTCTGACAGCAAGATAAGGCCCACAGCATGGGAGTGGAAGGGAGTGCTAATTTAGGAATGGAGAGAGCATACAAGGACCAAACCAGGAAGGCAGGCTTGGAATAGGGGAGGAGGGACAAGGCAGATAAGAGGGGGCCGGGGATGGTCTCAGAAGAATTGGGCGGTTTGGCTAACGATTGGCAGAAAGAGCAGGTTAATGGTTGTTCTCCGATGATTAAACATGTGCTTATAACCTCACTATCTGTCCTCCTCAGGGGAATGTTCGGTTGTGCTTAATTCTGGAGTTGGGAAAGTTCTTTATATATTCTCGATACTAGTTCTGTGTTAGATATGTGGCCTGCAAATATTTTCTCCCAGGGGGGAACTCGTCTTTCATCTTCTGAACAGGGTCTTTTGCAGAATCAATGTTTTTCCTTTTATGGATCATGGTTTTAGTGTCAAGTATAAGAACTCTTCACTTAGCCCTAGACCCCAGGGGCTTTTCTCCTATGATTTCTTATAAAAGTTTTATAGTTTTATACTTTCCATTGAAATCTATGACCCAGTTTGAATTAATTTTTCTGTAGGATGTGGTTAGGTCAAGCAGGTTCATAGTTTTGCCGATGGATATCCAATTGCTCCAGCACCATTTATTAAAAAATCTATCCTTCTTCCATCAAATTGCTTTTGCACCTTTGTCAAAAATCCGTTGTCTGTAATTATAGGTGGCTATGTCTAGATTCTCAATTCCGTTCCATTGACCTATGTGTCTGTTCCTCTGTCACTGTCACACAATCTTGATTATTGTAGCTATAGACAATGTCTTGAAATTGGGTAGACTGAGCCTTCCAACTTCTTTCTTTTCACAATTATTCTAGCTATTCTAGTTCACTTGCCTTTCTATATAAATTTTAGAATAATCTTGTCTATACCTACAAAAAAAACCTTGGTGGAATTTTGATAGGGGTTGTGTTAAATCTGTGTATCAGTTTGGGGAGAATTGATATCTTTATTAGATCGAGTTTTCAATTGAATAAACATGTTATGCCTCTTTATTTATTTGGATCTCCTATTTCTTTTGTCAGCATTTGGTAGTTTTCAGCATCTAAGTCCTGTACACTAAAGTATTTTATTTTTGAAGGAGCATTTGGAAATGGTGTCATGTTTTAAATTTTGGTGTCTGTGTGTTCGTTGCAAATATATAGAAATACAGTTGAGTTTTGTATATTGATGTTGTATCCTGTGACCTTGTTGAAATGATTTATTAGTTCTAAGAGATTTTTTTGTAGATTCCTTGGTATTTTAAAAAATTATTTATGTATTTATTTGTCAGAGAGAGAGAGGGAGAGAGTGAGTGCACAAGTGGGAGAGCAGCAGGCAGAGGGAGAAACAGGCTCCCTTGCTGAGCAAGGAGCCCCATGGTGGACTTGATCCCTGACCCTGGGATCATGACCTGAAGAGAAGGCAGACGTGTAACCGACTGAGCAACTCAGGCATTTCAATTCCTTGGTATTTTCTATGTAGATTATCATGTCATCCTCAAATAGGGAGTTTTATTTCTTCTTTTCATCAGTATTTTGTACATTCCAAGATCCGCGTCCTATAAATGGTATTATATTTTAAAATTTGGGTTCCACATGATCACTGTGAGTTGCTTTTTTGCTTTTCTATTTTCAATTTCATTGATTCCTAGTCTTACCTTTATTATTTCTTTCTTTCTGTTGGCTTTGGATTTGTCATGCTCTTCTGTTTTCAGTTTCTTGAGATAGGATCTTAGATTATTTATTTGGCAGCTTTCCTCATTTTAATGTAAGCATTTTATATTATAAATTTTTCTTTGGACACTATATTAGCTCTATCCCACAACATTTGATATGTTGTATTTTTATTTGTAGTCAGTTCCATGTACTCTAAGATTTTTCCATGAGACTTCTTCTCTGACCCATGAATTATTTCAATGTCTGTTGTTTACTTTCAAAATGTTTGGACATTTTCTTGCTTTCTTCCTGTTAACTGATTTTTAATTTGATTCCACTATGGTCTGAAAACATGCTGTATGGTTTCAAATTTTTTTTAAAGATTTATTTATTTATTTGAAAGAGAGAGAGAGAGAGAGAGATTGAGCAGGGGCCGGGGGAGGGGCAAAGGAAGAGGGAGAGGGTCGACCAGACTTCTTGCTGAGCAGGGAGCCCCACGTGGGACTCGACTCCAGGACCCTGAGATCATGACCTGAGCTGAAGTCAAATGCTTAACCCACTGATCCACCCAGGCACCCCTCATTTCAATTTTTTATTTCAAATTTGTACAGGTTTGTTTATGGTCCAGGATATAGTCTGTCTTGCTGTGTGTTTCATGAACTCTTGCCAAGAGTGTGCATTTTGCTCTTGCTGGGCAGAGTGTTGTACAAATGTTGACTAGGCATTGCTGGTAGACAGTGTTGGTTCTTCTATATCTTTGCTGATTTTCTATCTTGTTGTTTTTCAGTTGTGGATTGACTATAATTGTGGATTTTAAAATTTTTCTCTTTTAATTTTATCAGTTTTTGCTTCATATATTTTATAGCTGTCTTGTTTGGTGTACACATTTAAGATTACTATGTCTTTATGATGGATTGACCCTTTTATCACTATGGAATTTCCCTCTCTGTACTTGAAAATTTTCCTTGCTTCAAGTCTATCTACTTTATATGATATTAATATAGCTGTTCCCACTTTCTTTTGATTAATGTTTGTATGGTGTATCTTTTTCCATCCTTTACTTCCAACCTAATTATATTGTTATATTTAAAATGTGTTTCTTGTCGACAGTATTGTTGGGTCATGTTTTGTTTATTTTTACTCCATACCACCAATCCTTGTGTTTTAATTGGTATATTTAGATCATCAACATTTAATGCAAATATTGAAAAGTTAGGGCTTAAGTATGCCATTTAATATTACTTTTATTTGTTCTTTCTGTTTTCTTTGTCCTACCACTTGAACATTTTAGAATTCCATTTGAGTTATCTATAGTGCTTTTAAGTGTATCTCTTTGTATAGCTTTACTAGTGGTTGTTGTATTACATTTTACATACACCACTATCCCAGTCTAGTGGTGTCAACAGCTTACCACTTTAAGTGAAATGTAGAAACCTTAACTCCCCTACTTATAATGCAATTGTCTTAAATATTCCCTCTATATACATTTAGGGTCACACTAGACAGTGTTATAATTTTTGTTTAAAAAAATCAAGTGTTAATTTTAGTCAACTCAAGAGGAAAAGGAAGGTATATTGTATTCACCCATATTGTTACTCTTTCCATTGCTTTTTCTTCCTTCTTGATGATACAAGATTTCTTCTTCTGTCATTTCCTTTCTGCTTAGAGAATTTCCTTCAGTTATTCTTTTAGAGTAAGTCTGCTATTGACAAATTCTCTTTGTTTTCCTTCATCTGAAAATGTTTTATTTGCCCTCTTTTCTTGAAGGATATTTTCTGTGGATTTAGAATTCTGAGCTGATGATTCTTCTAACATTTCAAAAATGTTCCATTTCCTTTTGGCTCATATGGTTTCTAATAGAGAAATCCACTTTCACTCATTGTTCTTTGCCTATAGGTTAGTCTCTGACTGCTTTCAATATTTTTTCTTTGTGTTTAGTTTTGAGAACTTTTGTCTACTAGAGTGGATTTCTTTGAATTTATTCTGTTCATAATTCACTCAACTTCTTGAATGTGCACATTTATGTCTTTGGTTAAATTTCAAAACTTTTCAACCATTATTTATTCAAATACTTTTTCAACCCCTCCTTCTTTCTATTCTCCTACTGAAAATCTGATGACATGTATGTTAGACCTTTTGTTGTATTTCCATAGGTCATTGAGGCCATGATTCTTATTTTTTTCAAGCATATTTTCCCTCTTGTCAGATTGGGTGATTTTATTAATGTATCTTCAAGGTTACCAATTATTTTCTTGTTCCCTCCATTCCATTAAGTCTTAATTTCAGTTAGTGTATTTTTCAGTTCTAAAATTCCATTTTGTTCTTTGTATCTTCTTTCTATTTCTTTACTCAGTTTTTTCTATTTTTTGAATTTGTATCAGATGTCTTGGTAATGATCACCAA